TCAAAGAACTTATATGCATATATGTATGACCCATGGACAGAAACAATAGTGTGGTGAAGGCCTGGGGGCGGGGTGCCAGGGGGAGTGAATCAATGGGGAAAAAGGAGACATTTGTAATACTTTCAACAATAAAGATAAATTTTTAAAAATCCACTAGATTTAAAAAATGAATTGGGCAAATGAGCAGAATACAAAATTAACATCCAGAAATCAATGGCATTTTTATACACCAATAATAAACTCTCAAAAAGAAAAACTAAAAAAACAGTACTATTTACCACTGCAACAACAAAAATAAGATACCTAGGAATAAACTTAATCAAAGGGGTAAAAGTCCTGTACTCAGAAACCTATAGGATAGTGAAAAGAGAAATAAAGGAAGATATAAACAAGTGGAAGCATATACTATGCTAATGGAATGGAAGAATTAACATCATTAAACTGTCCATAGTTCCCAAAGAAATCTACAGATTCAACACAATCCTGATTAAAATACCAATGACATTTTTTCACAGATCTAAAACAAATTTTCCAATAATTTACACGAAACCAAAAAATACTCTGAATAGCCACAGCAATCTTGAGAAAGAAGAACAAAGTTGGAGGTATCACAATACTGGATATCAACCTAATCTACAAAGCCACTGTAATCAAAACAGCCTGGTACTGGCACAAGCACAAGCACTTAGACAAATAGTACAGAACAGATACCCCAGAAATTGACCCATGCCAATATGGTCAATTAATATTTGACAAAGGAGGCAAGTGCATACAATGGAGTAAATACATTCTCTTCAGTAAATGGTGTTGGGAAAATTGGACAGGTACATGCAAAAAAATGAAACTAGACCATCAACTTACACCACACACAAGAATAAACTCAAAATGGATAAGACTTAAGTTGCAAAACCATAAAAATCCTAGAAAAAAACCATAAGCAGTAAAATCTCAGACATCTCACATAGTAGTATTTTCACTGAAACATCTCCTAGGGCAAGAGAAACAAAGAAAAAATGAGCAAATGGGACTGCATCCCACTAAAAAGCTTCCGCACAGCAAAACAAACCATCAACAAAATGAAAAGGGAGTCCCACTGTATGGTAGAATATATTCACCACTGATGCATCTGATAAGGGGTTATTTTCCAAAATATATAAAGAACTCATACAACTTAACAAAAGGAAGACAAACAATCCATTAAAAAATGGACAAAGGACCTAAACAGACACTTCTCCAAAGAGGACATATAGATGGACAAGAGACCTATGAAAAAATGCTAAATCAGCCCTGGCTGGTGTGGCTTGGTGATTAGTTTCAGCCCACACACCTAAGGGACATAGGTTCAATTCCTGGTCAAGGGCATGTACCTGGGTTACTGTTCATTCCCCAGCACGGTCAGGGTGCATGCGGCAGGCAACCAATTAATGTGTCTCTCTTACATCAATGTTTCTCTCTCCCTCCCTCCTTTCCACTCTATCTAAAAGCAAAGGAAAAATATCTTCAGGTGAGTATTATCAAAAAAATGCTAAATCATCAGAAAGATGCAAATTAAAACTATGAGTTATCACCTCACACCTGCCAGAATGGCTACCAACAATAAATCAACAAACAATAATTGCTGGCAAGGATGTGGAGAAAAGGGAGAGTGGTACCCTGCTGGTGGGAATGCAAGCTAGTGCAGACATTGTGAAAAACAGTACAGAATTTCCTCAAAAAATTAAAAATGGAACTGCCATTTGAGCCAGCAATACCACTTCTGGGAATATATCCTTAGAATCTGAAACACTAATCAGAAAGAATATATGCATACCTTTGTTCATAGCAGTGTCATTTACAATAGCTAAGATCTGGAAACAGCCCAAGTGCCCATCAGTAGATGACTGGATAAAAAAGCTGTGGTACATTTACATAATAGAATACTACGCAGCTATAAAAAAGAAGGGTATTTTACCATTTTGGACAGCATGGATGGACCTCGACATTATGCTAAGAGAAATAATCCTGACAGAGAAAGACAAATATCGCATGATCTCACTTATAGGTAGACTCTAATGAACAAAAAATACTGACAAACTAAATCAATCCAGAGGCATGGATGTATGGAACAGACTGACAGACCTTAAGATCGGCAGGTAGCAAAGAGATTAACCAAAGGACATATATGCATAGTCCATGGATACAGACAATAGTGCAGTTAAGGCCTGGGGAGGGGAGGTGGCTTGCTGGAACATGGTAAAGGAGAAAAAACAGGGGACATTTGTAATACTGTCAACAATAAAAAATAGTTTATGCACCTAACAACAGAACTGAGAGGAGAAACAGACAAATCCAAAATTTTAGTCTGAGATTTCAACACCCTTCTCTCAACAATTAAGACAACAACAAAAAGCCCCAGAAAATCTGTAAAGGAATAAAAAATTTGTTGATAGTGAACAACACTATCAACCAACCAAATGAACCTAACTAACATTTATAGAACACTTCACCCATCAACAGTAGGATAAGCATACTTTTTAAGTGCACAGGGAAGATTTACTAAGAGAGGATATATTCTGGGCCATAAAACAAATCTCAATAAATTTAAAATAATTCAAATTATATAAAGTATATTTTCTTCATTAAATTAAGAATCAATACCAAAAACGAATCTATAAATGCTATAAATAAGTGGAAAATAAATAAAACATTTAAATAACTCTAAATAGAAGAAATCAAAAGGGAAATGAGAAAGCATTTTGACCCAAAAGAAAACAAAAATACAACATATAAAAATTTGAGGGTTACAACTAAATCAGTATTTACAAGGAAATTTGTATCATTCAGTCTTTTCATTATAAAAGAATGTCTGAAATCAAAGTATGGCCACCAGACCAGCAACATGAACATCACCTGGGAACTCAGAAATATATGTTGTCAGTCCCTACTCCAGACCTACTGAATCAGGAACTATAGGGATGAGGCCTAGTCATCTGTCACCCCCTAAGTGATTGTGATCAACATTCAAGTTTTAGAAACACTGATATAGATTTATTTAGACTTGATGTGTCTTTGCTCCTTTTCATCATTTAACATGATGGGAAGTTTACTGTATTTGGTTCCCACATGTAGGGAATTCCTGTAAACAGTAGGAATTATTCAACAGTAAGAATTATAAAAATAATTTGCTTAAAATATGATTTTATACCTACACTTGACTATGTACTTGTCTGATGTTCTAGAAAGCCACTTCAAAGGAAATACTGAAGCCCTAACATCAGCACTAACTCAGTTGCACTGACTACTATAGTGGTAGATATCACTTTTCCAACTAACTCTATGCATCAATCTAAAGCAAATCCAGTCTCTATCTAATTTACTGGCTCACATCTTTCCTGGGACAGGGAGGTAACGATTTTGGTTTCAATGGGCTTCAGTTACAGCTTCTGCTAACCAGGAATAAACAAAATCAACATACGTAGCAAATATAAATGATAATTTCAGTAACATGAAAGCAACATTTGCCATGGAATAACTACAATATGGGTAATCTATCAATTAATCTCACTTTATTATGGCAGTGTCTTCAAACATAAAAGAAAAAATATAGTGAAGTCCTTCTAGTATGCCTAGGCTCCAAAGGGAAAATGCAGTCGATTCCATTCTACACTAGCTTTCTTTCTTTACCTCAATCTTTGCTGACTTTCATCAGCTTTGGTTCTTTCAAACATACTGCCATCTGCTGTTTTCTGTTTTTGTTTTTCTTTTAAACAGAATTCAACAAAAGCGGTATATGGGGCTATGAGAGAGTATAATTAATCAAATAATCAGCCAGCAGCCACTGTTAAAATATTTTAATATCAATGTAAAATGAGACCACAGTTTCACAAGCAAATTTCAAAACAGAAACACCGATTTTGAAAAAGGTTTATCTTCCTTTCAGAAACCTAAATATGAATACATAAAGTTTAGGGATTTTAAAAAATACCATGGTATCTTCCCCATGTTAATTTGTCTACAGTTGACAAATATGCAAAAAAAACTAACTTCCAAATCAAAAGCCTCTAGTAGAAACATGCAAATTAAAAATCAAGCATTTTAATTTAATTTTTGGCCATAAAACCCAGCAAGAAACCAGGCTTTCCTCCCCCAACTCTTTCTAGGACATTGATGGCATTAACAGTACTTAGCCCTCCCTTGTCTGCATCCAGACATCCCTAGTTTGACCTATGTAAGTTAATGTTACAGTTCCAGTTGCAGGAAATGCCCTATTTTTTCCCCCACTGCATTACACTTGGTAAGGCACCCACCAGCACTATACAGAGTAGGAAATGAGTCAGGAAGAACATAATAGCTTGACTGAAAAGCTACATATAATTTATATATATCCTGGGTCTGCCAATTGAGTGAGGATATTAAGTTACCAGAATGTATAGTACTAGGAAGTAAATAGTAGAGGAAGGTGAAAACAGTCACATAAATGAAAACTCCCTAGAACTTAAAGCAAACTACACAAAATGCAAACTACAGTGGGCCAAATAACTTAGCCCCATTTGGGTTTATTTGTGGCTGAAAGACAGGTTCATAAATTAGGGGACAGTTTCAATGTAATGAGGGATCAGCAATTGGAATAAGATATTATTAAAATATTTTCTAAGAGTTGTGTGCTTCATTGTTGAATTTGGTGCCAACAGTCAAAAAATAACCAAATAAAATAAATAAACCTCAAACATTTTCTTTTTACTATACCCTCTTCCAAAAGTTACAAAGCATCTTTAACACAATTTTCTCTGCCAGTCCTTAAGTGAATCAGTAAAACAAATAGAATTTCAAAATATAACTGTAACATTACACAAGATAATTAATTTTCCTTTAATAACTTAGTCTGTTCCAAAGTATTTTTGTCCAAAATGTGTAGGTGCAACAGGATGAACTTCAGTAGTTAAAATTGTGATCTCTGGGAACTCTTGAATGATTGATTTGGCACCTTCAAAAAATAAAAGGAAGAAAATTATTAATGCAGGATTTTTGGTAACATTAATTTGAATTCAGGAATTTTATGGTCAGTCACTAGGACTCATATTGACAGAGGACAGAGCAATGACCTTTGAGTACCTAGTGAGACTTGGTTAATCTTTTAGTTTTTAAATGTCTGATATCTGAAAAGCTTTAGTAGTCAGATTACACTCCCACCCACTCACTAATAAATTCTTACAGTCAACTGTTTTATACCCATGATTTGAAAAATATATTCAGTTATAGCAACTTTCCCCTGCCAGAGTATTTTGTTTTATTTTAAAGGCATCTGGAATAGAGAAAATAGTTCTTTCTGACAACAGGATCATACATAAGATGATGGTTTCTCAACTGGAACATTGTGAAAGAAGTACAAAGACTTCTTTGTTATGTTAGAGCAAACTAGCTTTTAAGAAATTAGTACTCTAGCTTTTGCAGGGGAGGGTGTGGGAGCAGGGAAAGAGAATAGCTAGTACTCCACTCAAACTAAAAAGCCATAGCAAGGCTGCCAAAGAATATGATATTTTCATCTATACTGTCAAGGAATAGTATAATATTATAATGTATAGTATTAGAACTAACACAGTTTCTTTTCTACTCCCAAAGGCAGACAAGCCAATAATTATTTATCTCAATGTTTACAATGCCACCTGTTATATAAAAATGGATGACCAAGCAAATCACCCTTTGTCACCATCAATGTCTGAACTACAGGCAATTTCTTTTATTATGAAACAGCAAAATAATCAATGAACATAGCCTACTGAACACAGCCCTCCCAAAATGGTTATTGTGTAGCCAATTCAGGGTTGGATGAAACTTGGAACCTTTGGAAATGAGGAAATGTCCTAACTAGAAGCCATATATTTCTCTTTCTTTTCAATTATGAAACAAATAAAAATTCACTGTAGAATATTTTGAAAATATAAAAAATTTTCAAAACAAAATAAGTCACTTAGAATCCTATCATCCTAAGATAACTATTATTAATATTGTATGTGTATTTTAAAATGAAAATTGAAATAGTATTATGCATATGTTTAGCCTCTCTTGCTGAAGAAGGATTTATTAGGTTTCATGTTAAATCCAAGTCTGATTTTGGTAGTCATAATAGTCATAATTTGTATTAGTCATTTCTGAACTTGGTAATAACATTTAACACTATTTTAATGCTGTTATTTTTTTATCCTGCTCTTTTACATTCACCACATAGATTTTTTGATGTCATTATTTTTTGAAAACATGATTTAACAGTTAAATAATATTACATCCTTTGAATATATATATTTGTTTAAGCATTTCTTTATTGTAAGTCATTTACTTACATACATTCAAATTTTTTCTTATGCTACATAATTCTATATGCATCATACTTTCAGGATTGTACTAGTTTGCAAGGCAAAAAAAAGTAGGGTCTTAAATTAGGCTTACCTTCCTCAGGAAGTGGAGAACAGACAGTTTTCTCAAAAGGCCCTTTGAACAGACAGTCTAACTTCAAAATTTTTTGCTCTGCTTCACACTGCAAAGCTTACTTAAGACCACAGGGCTAGCTAGAATCTCTAATTTATTGCTGCTTGGGAGCAGTTCTTGGGCTCAGATGAGGAAACAGGAGAAACAGAGAACTTTTGGCGATTTACTGCTTTACGCAAAAAGAGCCACCAAGAAAACAATCTCAATACCTTTCCATGGGGTTAGTTCATACTTTTCCATTTGAATTTAAACAACATCAGAATGGTGTTAAATATTATCACTAGGCTTACAGATAAAAAAACACAAGTTTTAACTACAAAAATCAGGTTTAGATTTAATGTGGAAGCAAATGAACTTTTTGTCAGGATGAGAGGCTGGACAGATGCACACTTACCCACCCAATGACCACCATCCAGAGCCCCAGTTACTGGCTCATGCTGAACTTACCACGAGGAGTGGAGAACAGACTGAGTAGGATGATAACACTGGGTTGAACTCCATGTTCTATAAGAACCTTTACAGCTTCAATTACAGTATTTCCAGTGCCTGAAATCAAATGACAACCAATTAAATTGCCAACTTCATTTATCTCAAAATGTATTTGATGCTTATTTGAAGTAAAAGCACTTTAGTAATCTAACATAAGACGCCACTAGGCAAAGCTTCATTATTTTCAATAATGGACACGAAACATAAACTTTACAGTTTTCAAAGGCACAACAAGCCCAAAATTCATTCAGTATTTGGGATATCAAATTTAACACCCATCCTCCACACCCAAGCCCAGGAGACCATGCCAAGTATAATCTGAGTAAGCTTAGATAAAAACATACAATGAGAAAAAAATTACCTCTGGAGATGATACATACTTGAGAAAATTATTGCTATAACTCATTGGGCTACAGAGGGGACATATTTCAATATATTTTCTGTGTTTTATACATATTGCCTCATTAAATTCTTTGCTTCAATGGGTTCATTTTAAGAAAGAAGTTCTTTGGAATTGATAAAGTTTGACAAATGTATATTCTCTTATTACTCAATAAAATTCTCCAGTGAACTGCCCAGGGTAACTCCAAACTCAAGTAAGAAAAAAAATTTAGAAACAGTTTCGCCTTATAAACGGTATGCAGAAGGCAGGCACTAAGTTGAATTTAAATTCTAACCAAAGGTTACAAATTAAACTCAAGCCACTCACTGAGAATTGGGTACATCAGAAGGACTTTTCTCCTATAAATGTCTGGAGGGAACTTAGCATAATATACTTTGGCTCTCTGTGTCTCCTCATCACTCTGAATCAGGATCTTTCCAATACGTATGGATCGACAACAATCTCGTAAACCTTGTTCCATCGCCTCACCTTGAAAATGATAATAAAAAAGAAGAAAAAAAGGGTTAGGGGAGATAAAGTGAAAATCTGAGACTAGGCCAAAGCAGTATTTGTGACTGTTATTAATATAAAAAAGGGCATTGTCAAGATGGAAGCAATTCTTCTTAAACTAACAGATTTAATTCTGATACGTTTATATTTTATACTTAGTGCAGGTAAATGAAACTAGGCTAAAAGCTAGTCAATGAAACTAGAATAAGCTAGTTTTATTGCTGTACTGAAAATTTTAGAGCTGTCATGCTTACATGATTACAGGGGGGAAAAAAGTGTTTTGTTAAGCTGCTCCCTGAGCTTCTCCAACATCAGGAACATTTTACTCTTATTACTTGAGGGAGCCGTTAAACCACTTAAAGTTGTTACTTTCATCTGAAAAAAAATATAAAGGGTTTATGGAAGAATGAAGGCTACAGACCAAAGGATATACATTTAAATCAAGGTGGCATCAGGAGACATGACTTAGCCCCAGCAACGACTTCAGTGGCAAAGGTTTTGCTGGCAAATACTGAAAAATAGTGTATTGTTACCTCTCACCCCAGAGACCACAATCA